TTCAAATCTCCTAACTGCTCAATGGGGAAAAAAATGAGTAATCTCCTTCCATGTGATTTACAGCCTTTGGAAAACCAGCCGGATGGTCAGTTATGAATTGGTTCTGACTCAACAACGAGTTTGAGCTCCATATATAGTCTTATAAAAATCTCTTGGTTTGCATATATACTTTTCACTATGTTGAGGAAATTCCCTTCTGTTCCAATTTTGCTGAGTGTCCTTATCAGGAAGGGGTGTTGGATTTTGTCAAATGCTTTTTCTGCATCAATTGTTAAGATCATATGGTTCTTGTTATTTACTTTGTTAATACAGTGAATTACACTGATTATTTTTCTTATGTTGAACCATCCCTGCATACCTGTTATGAATCCCACTTGTTCATGGTGAATTCTTTTTTGATGTGCATTTGGGTTCTATGGGCTGGGATTTTGTTAAGGATTTTTGCATCTATATTCATCAGAGAGATTGGTCTGTAGTTTTCCTTCTTGGTAATATTTTTGCCTGGTTTTTGTATTAGGGTTATGCTTGCTTCATAGAATGACTCTGTAAGTGTTCCTTCTTTTTCATTTTTTTTTTAGATAATTTAAGTAGAATGGGTGCTAAATCCTTTCTGAATGTTTGGTAGAATTCAGCTGTGAAGCCATGTAGTCAAGGAGTTTTCTTATGGGAAACACTTTTTATGACCTTTTCTATTTCTTCTCTTGTGATGGGTCTGTTCATGTGTTTTATATCTGTCCTTGTCACTCTGGGCAGGGGATGCGTTTCAAGGAATTTGTCCATTTCCTCTAGGTTTTCGAATTTATCAGAGAACAGCTTTTCATAGCATTCTGATATTATCTATTCAATTTCCTTTGGTTCTGTTCTGATGTCACCTCTGTCATTTCTTAACCAACTTATCTGTGTCTTTTCTTTCTTTTGTTAAATTTGGTGGTGGTTTGTAAATTTTATTGACCCTTTAAAAAAACCCAGCCCCTGGTCTTCTGGTGGGTTTCAACTGTTTTTCTGTTTTCTATCTCATTGATTTCAGCTCTTGTCCTTATAATTTCTTTTCTTCTAGAGGCTGTAGGATTAGATTGTTGATACTTTTCTATTTGCTGAAGGTGTTGAGTTAAATAATTGATTCTTCTTTCTTCCTTTTTTATGTGTGTGCTTATTGCTATGAAATACCCTCTGAGGACTTCCTTAGCTGCACATCAAAACTTTATACAACAGGGTGAAAAGAAAACCTACAGACTGGGAACAAACATTTGGTAATACCATCTCAGACAAGAGTCATATAACAAAAGTTTACAGAATACTCCTGGGCCTCCACAAGAAAAAGATTGATAATGATAACCCAATTACAAAATGGGCAAAAGACTTGGAACTGAGGCACAAAGCTAGATTTGTACACCAATATTCATAGCAGCATTATTCACCATCTCAAGAACATGGAAAGAGCCCAAATGTCCAACCACAAATGAATGGATTGAGAAATTATGGTACATTCACACAATGGAATACTATGCAGCACTCAGGAGCAATAACTTTGTAAATTACTACCTAAGTTGGGAGGGACTGGTGAGCATTGTGCTGAGTGAACTAACTCAGTCCCACAAGGATAAATATTGTATAAGACCATTATTATAGAATGAGTATAAGGATCCAGGAGGGGTGGAAGAGCCTGGAAGCAGATGGATATGGATGTACAGGGGGAAGAGGGGATTAATTATTGGATTGTACAATTTGATGGGTGGGGGGTGAGGGAAGTTGAAAGAATTTGTTGAAATTTGTATTAGAATTTTGTAAATAAACTAGTAAAAAAAAAAGAATGTTTGACCAAGAATGATTAAAAACAGGCCTGAGGGCCACAGATTAAAGTAGAAAACAAAACCAAACCCACGAAACAAACAACAAAACCTCTTGTGTTGTTTGCACACCAAAAGTCTACTCTCCAGCATCTTGTCCTTTCTTACCATCATTCCCTTTCTAATAACCAGTCATTGTCAGTCCATCTTGATTGAATGCTTTATCAGTGTCAAACTGTATAAGTTGGTAAAAATCTTCAATTTGTTCACCCCTGGTATTAGCAAAACAAAGCTGAAAGCCCTCACTTGTCTATATCAAGAAATTCAGGAAACTGCTATCCATATATGTTTCTATCTCAAAGAGATGATCCATCAGAATGCAGAAATATCACTGATAAAACCTGTGAGTATTACTGAAGACAACTTATAAATAATCGAGGCAAAGCATCTACAAAGACTTGTTAGAAATTCAGAAAAGGACATGGAATGAGGGATATCATTGCTGATAACAGATGGATCTTTGTTGAAAGCAAGAAGTACTATGCTGAGTGAGCTAACTCAGTCCCACAGGGACAAATACTGTATAAAACCATTATTGTAGAATGACTATGAGGATTCAAAGAGGGGGTGGGAGCAGAGGGGTGTACATGGGGGGGGTTAATTATAGGGTCACACAATTTGATGGTTGAGGGGGTGAATGAAATGGGTAAGATCTTGTGTGAAAAACATTCTATTCAAACTATGTAAATAAGTCAGTATAAAATTAAAAAATAAAAATAAAAATTTAAAAAGTGGAAAAAATAGAATAAAAAAATTATTTGTGTTTTATTGACTATATAAAGGCATTTGTATGGATTATAACAAATTAAAGACAGCATTGTGAAAAACAAATTTTAGAACACCTAATTATATGGAACCTGTACATAGAACAAGAGCTAGCTCTCAAAAAGAACAAAGGGATATCACACAGTTTAAAGACAAGAAAAGTATGCATCAGGGTTGTATTCTTTCACCATACTTGTCCAATATGTATGTGATAATAACCTGAGTAAATAGACTTTATGAAGAATAATTCAGCATTAGGCCTGGAGGAAGACTTATCAAAACCTGGGTGTTTCTTAAAAGTGAATAGAAACACTACAAAAATTCTCATAGCTGGATCAATAAGAAACATCTTGAAAGAGAGGATGACATTCTCAAGGATTTCTTTTTACTTGGATCCACAAATAGCACTTAAAGAACCAGCAGTCAAGAAACAAAATGATGTTTGCATTGCACAAATATGCTGAAAAGAATACTTTCAGAATTAAGGTGTGCCTGACTCAAGTGAGGCTATTTTCAATAATTTCATATACATTCAAAGGCTAGAAAATGGTATTTCTATTTCCAGCTTTTTGAGAAAGTGCCAAGCCACCTTCCATAGTGGTTGCACCATTTTACTCTCCCTCCAACAATGAATAAGGGTTCCAATCTCTTCACAACCTCGCCAGCATTTATTGTTGAACTTTGTTATTGTTACTGGGGTGAGATAATATTTCATAGTGCGTTTGATTTGCATCTCTCTGATAGCTAAGGAGTTAAATATCTCAGTTACAAAAGGAAAAATACTTCATAGCACCACTGTTATAAAGCAGGTCTGACATGGGGGGCTGGGAGGAGAAAAGGGTAAGAGTGGATAGATAATGAACATTGCATTGGAACAGATGAAGGAAAGAACTGTTTAAAAGGAATATATGATAAGGCATTATATGTATGACAACAGCCTCTAATAAAAGGTACATCATTGCAGAGGTCTAGGAAGGGGGGAGGTAGGTAATTGTGCAACAATTAGTATTTGTTTTAAAAAGTGAGCTTTGAGAAAGAAAGGAGGGAGAGGGGGTAAAATTTGCAACAATAAATGAATGTATATCTAACTTCTCTGTAAACGTTCGTTAAAATTACAATTAAAATTTTATTTTTTTAAAAAAGTTAGAAAATAAGTAAGAGAAACCAAAGAATGATTAAGGCCTTTAAATTATGATGTTGCCAAAGAACATTGAATAAATGTGGACAACTAGATGAATGAACAAGTCCATTTTGGACACAGTATAGCTAATATGTTCCTTAAAAACAAGGATGTGTTGTGGCTTTTGTTGTGTACCATCAAGTAGAAACTTACCCATAGCTGACCCTCCAGTGGGTTTTCAGAGGCAATAAATCATAGGGGAGAAGATTACTCAAATTTCTCCTACAGAGCCGCTGGTGGCTCCAAACTGTATGCCTTCAGGCTGCCAGTGCAACTCCTTACCATTGGCCACGAGAGTTTTACTTAAGTGCTTTGAACAGATTAACAGAAGAGACTAGTCTCTTGAAAAGGGCATGGTGCTTGATATGGTGAAGAGTCATCACACAAGAGCAAGATCCTCAAGGAGATGGACTTGTCCAGTGGCTGCAACAGTGGTCTAAAATGTAGTAGTGGTGATATGGATAATATAGGACTAGGCAGTGTTTCTATCTGTTCTACATAAGGTTACTGTGAGTTTGAACCAACTTGAAGACAACAACAGCAATAAGAAAATCTAGATAGGATCTTATGTTGCTTAGTAATTCCTAATAATCACTATCATGAAGTAATAATTTAGATAGAATAATAAATCTAGTACCTTCCATTGTGTCTTCTATATTGTTACTATGATAATGTGCTTTAGTCACATGCCTGGAATAACCTATGTCTCGATAAAAAGAATTGTTATCATGATTTTCTTTAATGGGGATGTTTGTGATTAGGGTCTTTGAAAGGCTTCAGAGAAATGACATTTCCCCAGCCCCCCTACCCCCAACCTTTCAGCTATATAGCAGCTTGAATTGTTTAACATCACGCCTTGGTTTTGCCTGGGTAATAATGAAATATTTCTCTAGTTCTCCTAGAATTGCATTAAGCAATGTGTGTGCTGTAATCTTGTAAGGCAACAAGAAAATTAATGTTGACATAATAGTGCTAAGGTTTTATAAAGGAAAATTGCTATAGATTTCTTATTAATGCCTTGATATTTGAAACTTTGGAAGGGGCATAGTTTCATTATACAATCTTAATATGACATAGCTAGTGAATTTCACATTTATGTCTATGGGAATCTTATAGGGAAAAATAATGACGGCTTCTTAACATGTATCAATGTAGTGTCTCCTGGGAAATGTATTTTATTAATGATTTAATTTCTTATTTTTCCACAGGATTTGAGGTTCCAATTAAAATCATGTTTGGACCATTGCGTTACTGCCTGCTAGTGCTTAATCTTCACCGAAAGCCTCATCACTTATTTGAAAACAAAAGAAAAACGAGGTAAGGAGAAAAGTAATGAAATGCAGCATAACACATCTTTCAAAGTAAAGGGAAGTAGCTTTTTAAAAGCGATCTAGGATCAGTGACATTCAGAAATGATTTGTTGAACACTAAATGTGCTCAAGTGTGGCATCTCAATTCCAAGGACTCTATGTCTTCTGTTATGAAATGAACCACACAGACTTTCCCCCCTTCTTTTCTGTTGCAGTCGCCTAAGATAACAATTATTGATGTCACTGATACGCCACAAACGGAAATGTAGATTGTAAAATGAATCTCCTGCATTATCCAATAGAAATTCAATGATGCTCTGGTGCTGAAATAATGATTACAATGAACATTCTTAAGTGCTGTTTTTTAAAAAATATTAATAATTTCTTTGTCAGTCTCAAAACATACCATATCCACATTTGCTTATATCATGGGTTGATACTTAAAAAGTTTATGCCCAACGCATCATAATGTCCTTTAATTCTCATGTTACTAATTCATCACTTTTAAAATACTTAGTCTGACAGTTTTTTGGTATGTTGCACTGCACTGACATTGCCTCTATCAGATGAATGATACAATCAGAGATGTCATCTGAAGATGGAATATTGGTCCCTTAATTCAAATGAATCATTAGAGATATGAAAAGAAAGTGAAAAAAGTACCTGCTTTTCCACCATGGTCTCTAATAATGGGGTGTTTTTCTTGAAGAAATAATTCTTTACCACAAGACAGATTGCTCGCAAATGAATTGATAGGGTATGATTTATATTTTGAGCTTTTTGATGGACTTTTGATGCTCAAGAAGATTCAGAGATTATATATTGTTGATCTATGTATCTCAACCTTCCTTTAGGGTGTATCAAAGTGCTTGTGTTTGTTGAATGTTGAAAGGACGAGAACAAGAGAGAAAAATAGGAGGGGAGGAAGAGAGCCAGAGAGAAAATAGTTATGCTACACACCAATCAAAGAATTGATCTGCTCCCATGTGTAAACATGGCTTAATACATACTGTTTGTTGGATAGTAAGGATGTCGGTAAAAAATGTTTCCAATTTGGCTATCTTTCTTATGCTAGTCTTCACTTCAGTTGCTACTAAGCTCAGCCTATGATCCTTGTGAATTCATCACCGGCCTCTTTAGTGTACTTAACTTTCATTTGTGTCACACATCAAAACTTTTAAGAGTGTCAAGGGAAAAGAAGAAACAGTATGCTCATTTTCATTTTAAAATTTATTTTATTTTTAAATATGACATGTCTTGTACATGTTCACTATAATCACTTCAGCTTTCAGGTCATAAAAATAAATCCATATGTGTGAGTTATAGCTTATTGTTATCAGGAATATTATCAGTGTTCAGACACTGATGATGTTTGCTGGCAGCTGCCTTATGTTTTGTTTGCTTTTGAACATGATCTTGTCTTAAGATCCCAAACCAATAGTTTGTCTCACCAATACGCATCATTTCTAAAGGTAAAGACAAATGCGAGGTGACTGCCCTCTCTTTAGGATGAAGCAAAAGACGTCCCTGAGACTATGTCTGCTTTGAATCACCATTTAAGTTCAGTTTATCAAATATATATTGATCACTAAGTCTGTTCTGGGCACAGTGTCTAGGTTTGAGGATACAAAGATGAATAAAACATGGTCCCTGTCTTCTTGGATCATATAATGATTGAAGCAACAAAGTATATTAAGTAGATTTTAATATAATATTTGGGGCATTGTGAAAGAGATATGTGCAGGATGATATTGAAGCCCTGAAGAGGGAGGATTTTGCTAGGGTAAGGAGGACGCTAGAGCAGCAAAAATATACTAAAGAGACAGAGCCTAAGCTATTGAAAAAGTGGGGGCTGAAGGAAAGGCATGGGGTTGACTCGAGAAGCAAGCTGAAAGATGTTAAGAAAGACCACCTCTCCAGGTGGGTGACATTGCAATATAGGGGGAATGTCAGATGAAGCTTCAGAATCCTTGCCTCCAAGGAGAAGCCTGGTTTCACCTTCTTTAGGCCAAACCTGTTTGTTCTCCCAGTCCATGGTATAGTCAATACTTTTTTCCAGCACCACTCAAAGGCATTAATTTTCCTTCTATCATCTCTAGTCATTGTCCAGCTTTTTGATGCATAGCAAGTAATTGTAAGGACCATGGCATGGATCAAGTGCACCTTAGTCTCCAGACTGATGTTGTTGCTGTTCATTGCTTTGGAGAAGCCCCTAGTAGCAGACTTTCTCAATGCAATTCGTCTTTTAATTTCCTGGCTGCTGGTACCAAGAATGTTGATTGTAGAACCAAGCAAACTGAAGCTGTTGACAATCTCAATCTCTTCACCATTTTTCATAATGCTGCCAGTTGGCCCAGTGGTGAGAATCTTGGTTTTCTTGATATTGAGCATCAATCCATATTGAACACTTGCAGTCCTTGAACTTCTGCAGCAAGTGCTTCAGGTCCTCCTCAGTTTCAGCAAACATCTATAGTGTAGGTTGTTGATGAGCCTATCCCTAATGCTGATGTCACATTTCTTCTCATAGAGCCCAGCCTCCCAGATAATCTGGTCTGCATATAGATTGAAAAGGTATAGAGATAGAACACATCCTTGACTCACACCCTTCCCAATTTTGAACCATGCAGTATTTCCTTGCTCCGTTCTGACAACTGTCTCCTGGTTCAAGTACAGATTTTATATAAGCAAAATCAAGTGTTCTGGGAATCCTATTCTTCTCAGAGTCAGTCAATTTGTTGTGATTCACACAGTAAAATGCCTTTGCATAGTCATTGAAACACTGATAGACATTCCTCTAGTACTCCCTGCTTTCAGCCAAGATACTGTTAGATGGGTTTGCTTAGTATAACAATATTTTTACATACTAAATTTTTTGTTGTTTCTGAGTTAATATAACAGTAGTAAAAACTTAAAGCTAATAAGATTATATTTTTACAGAGCCAAATTTATCAACTCTTCTCTACTTTTGGAGGTGAGAAATAAAAAGGAAACCAAACTACATAGGGAAACCAGGGTTAAAACCTTTGAGATATTAGCTGGAATTCCATCAAGTATATTTTCTTTATTTAAATTATTCTAAGAAGATATAAAATAAAAATCTTAAGTACAATGCCTACATTTACGATCTGATTATTTTATGCACACAATAAATTATCAGGAAAAGGAATTAGACTAGAAAATTCATAAATTTCTTCAACATCTGACTTTGAAACATTAGAATCTATTGTTGTGATTTGAGTAATAAAAGAACCAACTAATCTACAGCTAATATTAGATTTTTACCATTTGCAGAAAGTTTGCTTTCTTTCATATAATTTTAAATACCATCTTGAGGTTATTCTGCCACAAATTTGCAATATTTTTAAGTACAAACTCTTGTTTTCTGATAGAAAATAGATTAAGCTAATCAACGTCTGGTTTTTGTAAAAGCAGCAGCGATGTCATATGAGTGTATGTATTTGTGTTAAAGAGTAAGGCAGAGGAAAAGAGAGAATGGATGTTGTTGTAAAGCGCCAGCAAGTCGTAGACGACTCACAGCGACCCTATGAATGAAAGACCTGAACA